CTTGACGCGGCGCTTTTGCTCTCCGATATAATAGCTATCATATACCAAGGTTTTACCGGGATTTGAACCCAGATCGCCAGATTCAGAGTCTGGAGTGCTAACCGTTACACCATAAAACCATCCACTTATATTTACTTGACGCAGCTCTTTTGCTCTCCGATAGAATAACTATCATATGCTAAGGTTTTACCGGGATTTGAACCCAGATCGCCAGATTCAGAGTCTGGAGTGCTAACCGTTACACCATAAAACCATACGTATCAAATAACTTGACGCGGCGCTTTTGCTCTCCGATATAATAACTATCATATACTAAGGTTTTACCGGGATTTGAACCCAGATCGCCAGATTCAGAGTCTGGAGTGCTAACCGTTACACCATAAAACCATCCATTTGAATTTACTTGACGCGGCGATTTTGCTCTCCGATAGAATAACTATCATATACCAAGGTTTTACCGGGATTTGAACCCAGATCGCCAGATTCAGAGTCTGGAGTGCTAACCGTTACACCATAAAACCATCCATTTGAATTTACTTGACGCGGCGATTTTGCTCTCCGATAGAATAGCTATCATACACCAAGGTTTTACCGGGATTTGAACCCAGATCGCCAGATTCAGAGTCTGGAGTGCTAACCGTTACACCATAAAACCATCCATTTGTATTTACTTGACGCGGCGATTTTGCTCTCCGATAGAATAGCTATCATATACCAAGGTTTTACCGGGATTTGAACCCAGATCGCCAGATTCAGAGTCTGGAGTGCTAACCGTTACACCATAAAACCATCCATTTGTATTCACTTGACGCGGCGCTTTTGCTCTCCAATGGAATAACTATCATATACTAAGGTTTTACCGGGATTTGAACCCAGATCGCCAGATTCAGAGTCTGGAGTGCTAACCGTTACACCATAAAACCATCCACTTATATATACTTGACGCAGCTCTTTTGCTCTCTGAAATAATAACTATCATATGCTAAGGTTTTACCGGGATTTGAACCCAGATCGCCAGATTCAGAGTCTGGAGTGCTAACCGTTACACCATAAAACCATCCATTTGTATTTACTTGACGCGGCGCTTTTGCTCTCCAATAGAATAACTATCATATACTAAGGTTTTACCGGGATTTGAACCCAGATCGCCAGATTCAGAGTCTGGAGTGCTAACCGTTACACCATAAAACCATACGTATCAAATAACTTGACGCGGCGCTTTTGCTCTCCGATAGAATAACTATCATATACCAAGGTTTTACCGGGATTTGAACCCAGATCGCCAGATTCAGAGTCTGGAGTGCTAACCGTTACACCATAAAACCATCCATTTATATTTACTTGACGCGGCGCTTTTGCTCTCCGATACAATAACTATCATATACTAAGGTTTTACCGGGATTTGAACCCAGATCGCCAGATTCAGAGTCTGGAGTGCTAACCGTTACACCATAAAACCATCCATTTGTATTTACTTGACGCGGCGCTTTTGCTCTCCGATAGAATAACTATCATATACCAAGGTTTTACCGGGATTTGAACCCAGATCGCCAGATTCAGAGTCTGGAGTGCTAACCGTTACACCATAAAACCATACGTACCAAATATACTTGACGCGGCGCTTTTGCTCTCCGATATAATAACTATCATATGCTAAGGTTTTACCGGGATTTGAACCCAGATCGCCAGATTCAGAGTCTGGAGTGCTAACCGTTACACCATAAAACCATCCATTTGAATTTACTTGACGCGGCGATTTTGCTCTCCGATAGAATAGCTATCATACACCAAGGTTTTACCGGGATTTGAACCCAGATCGCCAGATTCAGAGTCTGGAGTGCTAACCGTTACACCCTAAAAACATCCATTTTTATTTACTTGACGCGGCACTTTTGCTCTCCGATAGAATAACTATCATATACTAAGGTTTTACCGGGATTTGAACCCAGATCGCCAGATTCAGAGTCTGGAGTGCTAACCGTTACACCATAAAACCATACGTATCAAATAACTTGACGCGGCGATTTTGCTCTCCGATAGAATAACTATCATATACCAAGGTTTTACCGGGATCTGAGCCCCGATCGCCAGATTCAGAGTCTGGAGTGCTAACCGTTACACCATAAAACCATCCATTCGTATTTACTTGACGCGGCGCTTTTGCTCTCCGATAGAATAACTATCATATACTAAGATTTTACCGGGATTTGAACCCAGATCGCCAGATTCAGAGTCTGGAGTGCTAACCGTTACACCATAAAACCATACGTAACAAATAACTTGACGCGGCGCTTTTATTCTCCTAAATAATAGCTATCATGTACTAAGATTTTACCGGGATTTGAACCCAGATCGCCAGATTCAGAGTCTGGAGTGCTAACCGTTACACCATAAAACCATACGTATCAAATAACTTGACGCGGCGATTTTGCTCTCCGATAGAATAACTATCATATACCAAGGTTTTACCGGGATTTGAACCCAGATCGCCAGATTCAGAGTCTGGAGTGCTAACCGTTACACCATAAAACCATCCATTTGTATTTACTTGACGCGGCGCTTTTGCTCTCCGATAGAATAGCTATCATATACTAAGGTTTTACCGGGATCTGAGCCCCGATCGCCAGATTCAGAGTCTGGAGTGCTAACCGTTACACCATAAAACCATTCGTATCAAATAACTTGACGCGGCGCTTTTTGCTCTCCGATATAATAACTCTCATATACTAAGGTTTTACCGGGATTTGAACCCAGATCGCCAGATTCAGAGTCTGGAGTGCTAACCGTTACACCATAAAACCATCCATTTGTATTTACTTGACGCGGCGATTTTGCTCTCCGATAGAGTAGCTATCATATACCAAGGTTTTACCGGGATTTGAATCCAGATCGCCAGATTCAGAGTCTGGAGTGCTAACCGTTACACCATAAAACCATCCATTTGTATTTACTTGACGCGGGGCTTTTGCCCTCCGATAGAATAACTATCATATACTAAGGTTTTACCGGGATTTGAACCCAGATCGCCAGATTCAGAGTCTGGAGTGCTAACCGTTACACCATAAAACCATCCATTTGTATTTACTTGACGCGGCGCTTTTGCTCTCCAATGGAATAATTATCATATAATAAGGTTTTACCGGGATTTGAACCCAGATCGCCAGATTCAGAGTCTGGAGTGCTAACCGTTACACCATAAAACCATCCACTTATATTTACTTGACGCAGCTCTTTTGCTCTCTGAAATAATAACTATCATATGCTAAGGTTTTACCGGGATTTGAACCCAGATCGCCAGATTCAGAGTCTGGAGTGCTAACCGTTACACCATAAAACCATCCATTTGTATTTACTTGACGCGGCGCTTTTGCTCTCCAATAGAATAACTATCATATACTAAGGTTTTACCGGGATTTGAACCCAGATCGCCAGATTCAGAGTCTGGAGTGCTAACCGTTACACCATAAAACCATGCGTACCAAATAACTTGACGCGGCGCTTTTGCTCTCCGATATAATAGCTATCATATACCAAGGTTTTACCGGGATTTGAACTCAGATCGCCAGATTCAGAGTCTGGAGTGCTAACCGTTACACCATAAAACCATCCATTTGTATTTACTTGACGCGGCGCTTTTGCCCTCCGATAGAATAAATATCATATACTAAGGTTTTACAGGGATTTGAACCCAGATCGCCAGATTCAGAGTCTGGAGTGCTAACCGTTACACCATAAAACCATCCATTTGTATTTACTTGACGCGGCGCTTTTGCTCTCCAATAGAATAATTATCATATGCTAAGGTTTTAACGGGATTTGAACCCAGATCGCCAGATTCAGAGTCTGGAGTGCTAACCGTTACACCATAAAACCATACGTACCAAATAACTTGACGCGGCGCTTTTGCTCTCCGATATAATAACTATCATATACCAAGATTTTACCGGGATTTGAACCCAGATCGCCAGATTCAGAGTCTGGAGTGCTAACCGTTACACCATAAAACCATCCATTTGAATTTACTTGACGCGGCGATTTTGCTCTCCGATAGAATAGCTATCATACATCAAGGTTTTACCGGGATTTGAACCCAGATCGCCAGATTCAGAGTCTGGAGTGCTAACCGTTACACCATAAAACCATCCATTTGAATTTACATGACGCGGCGATTTTGCTCTCTGATAGAATAGCTATCATACAATGAAGGTCCATTTATGGGGCTAGTTCAAGGACGAATGTATTGAGATTTACTGTTAGATGGGAACGAGCTCAGAGACCTCCTCGTGGTGTTCCTGGAAACTCAACTATAATGTTTTATTTTTGAGGCTAACATCTGAGCATTCGATTGTTTCCTCTCTGTTTCCTTGTACAATTTGTTATTGCTTTGTTGGTTTGCTTCTCGTTTTGTCACGTCTCTAAATCCTTGTTATTTCAATCCAACTGAATGGGTCCGATTATGGTATTGGTCCAACATACATATGTATGGTAAGTTATGCACATGTATGTTCTGTTTACTGTTCATTTGAAGTTGCCTTGTGTTGCGGTAGTGGTTGGTTAGTCACCTGTTTGGTGCACTAATGGATGTGTCCCCGTGTTGGGGGAGTTTGCTCGGTGTTGAACGAGTATGCGGTCGACAGTTGTCGGAATCCATGTGTGGTTGGATGGTCGATCCCTAATTAGGGGTAAATGTGTTGTGTGGTGGATAAAGGGTACCATTGTAAAGTCGGTCGATTAGGGTGGTGCGACGCTATATTCGTGTAAACTACTAACTTTTCGCGTACTAAGTAATCGTGATGATTTTTAATCACATACATGTTTATCATAAGTGTTATTATTCTTTCGCTTTACTGCTCGTTTATTTTGTTTGATTCATCTTCATGGCGATTTCGAGTTCCAGCCGCCTCTGAGTGGCGTTATGCTTGAATTGCCCTCGTATTTTGTTTATCCTTTGTCTTTAGGTTCCTTTTCTTTTGTTTTGAAATTAGGATGAACCGTTGTTGATGTCGACGTTTTCAAGTGCTCCAGATCTGTCTGGGACCATAGTTGAGACATTAGCTCAACCACCCTTCTCGGTTAACTCTTTGAGAACGTTGAAGGCAGCGGTTGATGATGCCGAGTTGTTGGGAGAAATGGTTGTTGCTTGTGCTGTCGTTATGGGTGCTGTATTGGATAATGATGCCGAACAGCCTCAGGCTGATATTATCGCTGAAAGACTGAGAAGAGCAAGACTCAGAGCTGCGTTGATTGCCGCTGCTTCTCAAAAAAAGGATGTGGTAAAGGCGAAGTTCTCTGTGGATGCGATACTCGTGTCAGCTGCACAGTTATTTGGTTGTTTACCCAATAATGAACTGGTTCCTCTTCCGCATGTTGCGGAGGTCTTGTATCGAGATAGATATTTATTTATTGAATTTAAGACTCATCCTGAGATCACCGCGCCGGCCAGCAAGTCTGTTATACAGTTTACTCGAGATGGTCAAGCTGTGGAGACTGCGAAACTTCCCACGGGGAAACCTCCTAATACCTTTGAGCAATGGCTTCCATTGATCATCAATGATTGATGTTGCGGTGGGTCTTCACTATATATGTTCTTGAGGGTAAGGGTGACTTGATACATGTCTGTGAGTAATACTCAATGAGTATGCTGCGAGGGTTGCTTCGATATCAAATAAACACGGTTTTGGTAAAGCACAGTTGTTTGATCGACGTTATCGTCAGCGAATGATGTTATGCATGAGACTGTTGCAATCTTCCCTGTTCATGATGAGGTCAAGATGGAAGATCATCAGGCATGATCAGGCAGGCTATCTTTCTGGCTAAGAATCTAGAGCCTGAGCGTCTTGCAGAGGTGTGTTCGGATGCTTCCCCGATGTCGGGGAAACCGAATGCACCTGGGGCGAGAAATATGTCAAAAGTGGTGTGGGAAGGTACATGCAGGTTCACCAAAGAAGACTGCCCATAATATGGGCCCCATATAAAGATTGCAAGTTTGCTGAGCAGTCACCGCCTACTACTCAGCAAAGGGAGGCTAATATGGATAAAAGAGCTATTAACAATCAGGGGCAGGGCCCGAGAGATAATATGGCAACTAAATGATATCCGGTTGTGATGTATGCCCGATACTTAATAGTATTAAGTTAATACGGGTGTCTTGTGTGAGGTTGGAGGTTTGTTTCTGTGAGTGTTCTTTTAACTAGGATATAATCCGATGTTAGTAGTTGATACTCGGTGTGTGTCGAATGGGAAACGGATTTCCCGTCATCAACAGAATATAATTTGAAAGTAGTTTGTTGTGTTTGTTTGTTGTGTTGAATAAGTGTTGAAATATTTGCATCAAAGTAGATGTTCTCCAAGTCTGCTGAGTGGGCTTCTCATCAAGCTAAGGCGGAAACGGAAGAGGGGAGAAAGAATCTCCTTGATTTCCTAGAGCTTTATATATCAGCAGAAACAAAAAAAGGTTATGAATCTGCGTATAAATAATATAAATCCATGGGAATGGAATTCCCATCGTCTGGTTTGAAGTTACGTTTGTGGGGGTTTAGTGGAATCAATAAATTTGCAGTACACAACAATATCGAAATACACATCGGGATTGAAGACACTCAACCAATTACATGGTTTCGGTGATATTTCGACATCGGATGGAAAGCTGGTAGCTCGGACGTTGCAATCGGCGCGTAAGATAAAACCTCAGATGAAAAAGAGGCAAGCTCCGTCGATACCGGAAAAGTAGCGGAAAGTTTGTTCAAATTACCGGTTGGTGTGTTAAGAACGATGGAACTTGAACAAACCAAGGATGCTATCCTAATGGGCATTCCATTAGCTCTACGACCTGGAGAGCTATTGGAAATTCGAGCAAAGGATATCAAAGTTATTGGTGGTGCATCTAAAGGATCGATAGATATGACTATAGAGATTGAGGTTGGGTGTTACCAAATTGGGTTCCTCTGAGACTATAGTGCGTGATTGTGTACATTTTAAGGATCAGCGTATTCATAGAGGATTATGTTGTGTGGTGCACCGTATGGCAAAGATTGTTGTAAGTGTACCAGCATGCTTGAGAATATTTGATAAGATCTATTAGAAGTTGCCGACGAATGCTCGACAACTTGGTATGGAACTGTCGAAGCGTTTTGATTTCTCCAAGCGAGAAATTGACGATATGATGAACTTCATCAGATGAAGTTTACAGGTCATAGTTGTCGGCGTTCGAGTGCAACATATGCTGAGGACATTAACTTGATGTCGGAAACTTGATGAACTGGTTTGGGCGGTTTATTGGGAGGGCTTCTAGATTATCTCCATTTGAGTGGTTTCACAACACCCTAGTTTATTGACCTCCGTGGTTGACCTGGTGTTATAACTAGGATGTTGTAAATAGGAGATAAAATTTAGAAGCGCCACGGGTTTGATAAACCAGTGGCAACCACCCAAACCTCCATATTACTGAACACAATATAGGTGATTACAGTAAATCCATAAATAAGGAGTTGAATGAAGGTCCATTTATGGGGCTAGTTCAAGGACGAATGTATTGAGATTTACTGTTAGATGGGAACGAGCTCAGAGACCTCCTCGTGGTGTTCCTGGAAACTCAACTATAATGTTTTATTTTTTTTTCTTCTTTTTTTCTCTCTAAGTTTTATGGAGGGCTTCTAGATTATCTCCATTTGAGTGGTTTCACAACACCCTAGTTTATTGACCTCCGTGGTTGACCTGGTGTTATAACTAGGATGTTGTAAATAGGAGATAAAATTTAGAAGCGCCACGGGTTTGATAAACCAGTGGCAACCACCCAAACCTCCATATTACTGAACACAATATAGGTGATTACAGTAAATCCATAAATAAGGAGTTGACCAAGGTTTTACCGGGATTTCAACCCAGATCGCCAGATTCAGAGTCTGAAGTGCTAACCGTTACACCATAAAACCACACGTACCAAATGACTTGACGCGGCGCTTTTGCTCTCCGATATAATAACTATCATATACTAAGGTTTTACCGAGATTTGAACCCAGATCGCCAGATTCAGAGTCTGGAGTGCTAACCGTTACACCATAAAACCATCCATTTATATTTACTTGACGCGGCGCTTTTGCTCTCCAATAGAATAATTATCATATAATAAGGTTTTAACGGGATTTGAACCCAGATCGCCAGATTCAGAGTCTGGAGTGCTAACCGTTACACCATAAAACCATACGTACCAAATAACTTGACGCGGCGCTTTTGCTCTCCGATATAATAACTATCATATACCAAGGTTTTACCGGGATTTGAACCCAGATCGCCAGATTCAGAGTCTGGAGTGCTAACCGTTACACCATAAAACCATCCACTTGAATTTACTTGACGCGGCGATTTTGCTCTCCGATAGAATAGCTATCATACATCAAGGTTTTACCGGGATTTGAACCCAGATCGCCAGATTCAGAGTCTGGAGTGCTAACCGTTACACCATAAAACCATCCATTTGAATTTACTTGACGCGGCGATTTTTCTCTCCGATAGAATAGCTATCATATACCGAGGTTTTACCGGGATTTGAACTCAGATCGCCAGATTCAGAGTCTGGAGTGCTAACCGTTACACCATAAAACCATCCATTTGAATTTACTTGACGCGGCGATTTTGCTCTCTGATAGAATAGCTATCATACACCAAGGTTTTACCGGGATTTGAACCCAGATCGCCAGATTCAGAGTCTGGAGTGCTAACCGTTACACCCTAAAACCATCCATTTGTATTTACTTGACGCGGCGCTTTTGCTCTCCGATAGAATAACTATCATATACTAAGGTTTTACCGGGATTTGAACCCAGATCGCCAGATTCAGAGTCTGGAGTGCTAACCGTTACACCATAAAACCATCCATTTGTATTTACTTGACGCGGCGCTTTTGCTCTCCAATGGAATAACTATCATATACTAAGGTTTTACCGGGATTTGAACCCAGATCGCCAGATTCAGAGTCTGGAGTGCTAACCGTTACACCATAAAACCATCCACTTATATGTACTTGACGCAGCTCTTTTGCTCTCTGAAATAATAACTATCATATGCTAAGGTTTTACCGGGATTTGAACCCAGATCGCCATATTTAGAGTCTGGAGTGCTAACCGTTACACCATAAAACCATCCACTTATATATACTTGACGCAGCTCTTTTGCTCTCTGAAATAATAACTATCATATGCTAAGGTTTTACCGGAATTTGAACCCAGATCGCCAGATTCAGGGTCTGGAGTGCTAACCGTTACACCATAAAACCATACGTACCCAATAACTTGACGCGGCGATTTTGCTCTCCGATAGAATGACTATCATATACTAAGGTTTTACCGGGATTTGAACCCAGATCGCCAGATTCAGAGTCTGAAGTGCTAACCGTTACACCATAAAACCATCCATTTGTATTTACTTGACGCGGCGCTTTTGCTCTCCAATAGAATAACTATCATATAATAAGGTTTTACCGGGATTTGAACCCAGGTGGACAGATTCAGAGTCTGGAGTGCTAACCGTTACACCATAAAACCATCCATTTGTATTCACTTGACGCGGCGCTTTTGCTCTCCAATGGAATAACTATCATATACTAAGGTTTTACCGGGATTTGAACCCAGATCGCCAGATTCAGAGTCTGGAGTGCTAACCGTTACACCATAAAACCATCCACTTATATATACTTGACGCAGCTCTTTTGCTCTCTGAAATAATAACTATCATATGCTAAGGTTTTACCGGGATTTGAACCCAGATCGCCATATTCAGAGTCTGGAGTGCTAACCGTTACACCATAAAACCATACGTAGTAAATAACTTGACGCGGCGCTTTTGCTCTCCGATAGAATAACTATCATATATGAAGGTTTTACCGGGATTTGAACCCAGATCGCCAGATTCAGAGTCTGGAGTGCTAACCGTTACACCATAAAACCATCCATTTGTATTTACTTGACGCGGCGCTTTTGCTCTCCACTAGAATAACTATCATATGCTAAGGTTTTACCGGGATTTGAACCCAGATCGCCATATTCAGAGTCTGGAGTGCTAACCGTTACACCATAAAACCATACGTAGTAAATAACTTGACGCGGCGCTTTTGCTCTCCGATAGAATAACTATCATATATGAAGGTTTTACCGGGATTTGAACCCAGATCGCCAGATTCAGAGTCTAGAGTGCTAACCGTTACAGCATAAAACCATACGTATCAAATAACTTGACGCGGCGATTTTTCTCTCCGATAGAATAACTATCATATACCAAGGTTTTACCGGGATTTGAACCCAGATCGCCAGATTCAGAGTCTGGAGTGCTAACCGCTACACCATAAAACCATCAATTTGTATTTACTTGACGCGGCGATTTTGCTCTCCGATAGAATAACTATCATATACTAAGGTTTTACCGGGATTTGAACTCAGATCGCCAGATTCAGAGTCTGGAGTGCTAACCGTTACACCATAAAACCATCCATTTGTATTTACTTGACGCGGCGCTTTTGCTCTCCGATAGAATAACTATCATATACTAAGGTTTTACCGGGATTTGAACCCAGATCGCCAGATTCAGAGTCTGGAGTGCTAACCGTTACACCATAAAACCATTCGTATCAAATAACTTGACGCGGCGCTTTTTGCTCTCCGATATAATAACTCTCATATACTAAGGTTCTACCGGGATTTGAACCCAGATCGCCAGACTCAGAGTCTGGAGTGCTAACCGTTACACCATAAAACCGTCCGTTTGTATTTACTTGACGCGGCGCTTTTGCTCTCCGATAGAATAGCTATCATATACCAAAGTTTTACTGGGATTCGAACCCAGATCGCCAGATTCAGAGTCTGGAGTGGTAACCGTTACACCATAAAACCATACGTATCAAATAACTTGACGCGGCGATTTTGCTCTCCGATAGAATAACTATCATATACAAAGGTTTTACCGGGATTTGAACCCAGATCGCCAGATTCAGAGTCTGGAGTGCTAACCGTTACACCATAAAACCATCCATTTGTATTTACTTGACGAGGCGCTTTTGCTCTCCGATAGAATAGCTATCATATACTAAGGTTTTCCCGGGATCTGAACCCCGATCGCCAGATTCAGAGTCTGGAGTGCTAACCGTTACACCATAAAACCATACGTATCAAATAACTTGACGCGGCGATTTTGCTCTCCGATAGAATAGCTATCATATACCAAGGTTTTACCGGGATTTGAACCCAGCTCGCCAGACTCAGAGTCTGGAGTGCTAACCGTTACACCATAAAACCGTCCGTTTGTATTTACTTGACGCGGCGCTTTTGCTCTCCGATAGAATAGCTATCATATACCAAAGTTTTACTGGGATTCGAACCCAGATCGCCAGATTCAGAGTCTGGAGTGCTAACCATTACACCATAAAACCATGCATTTGTATTTACTTGACGCGGCGATTTTGCTCTCCAATAGAATAGCTATCATATACCAAGGTTTTACCGGGATTTGAACCCAGATCGCCAGATTCAGAGTCTGGAGTGCTAACCGTTACACCATAAAACCATACGTATCAAATGACTTGACGCGGCGCTTTTGCTCTCCGATATAATAACTATCCTATGCTAAGGTTTTACCGGGATTTGAACCTAGATCGCCAGATTCAGAGTCTGGAGTGCTAATCGTTACACCATAAACCATCCACTTATATATACTTGACGCAGCTCTTTTGCTCTCTGAAATAATAACTATCATATGCTAAGATTTTACCGGGATTTGAACCCAGATCGCCAGATTCAGAGTCTGGAGTGCTAACCGTTACACCATAAAACCTTACATACCAAATAACTTGACGCGGCGCTTTTATTCTCCTAAATAATAACTATCATGTACCAAGGTTCTACCGGGATTTGAACCCATATCGTCAGATTCAGAGTCTGGAGTGCTAACCGTTACACCATAAAACCATACATGTATATTCACTTGACGCGGCGCTTTTGCTCTCCGAAATAATAACTATCATATACCAAGGTTTTACCGGGATTTGAACCCAGATCGCCAGATTCAGAGTCTGGAGTGCTAACCGTTACAGTAGTAAATGCGAAACCAAATGTTACTCTCCCAGCCAGGGTTGTGCAGGCCCTGTGAAATTTCGCGTTCCGCAAATTTCAATTTCAAAAATTTCATGAAATTTCAGCGGTGCGCTGAAATTTCGCGAAATTTTGAAATTTGAAGATTTCTGGCTAAAATTTGTACTTTTTGGGGCTTTTCACGCTCCCCAACATCGAAGAATATCA